ATGGTTTCGGAGCACAATAAGGCTCTATCGCCCTTCACGCATCTGCGTTTCTGGGAATGCCTGGGCTTCGGGGAATTGCACGGGGCCGACACAAAGGCACCGATTGTTCTGGAGGCAGAGGGACGAACCTGCCCTTTCCAAAGGAGAGGAAGCCGGCTGGAAAAGTCACTATTGTCATCTCGATAGGAAAACAAAAAGCCCTATTGCATCGTCAGTGCTGGTAGGTCTGGAAAGGGGGGGGGGGCACGGCCGGGGTACAGCAACCGCGGGGACGGAGGGGACGGAGGGAGCCAGGCACCCCCGGCCAGGCTCCGCCATCAGCTACCTGCTAAACCATCCTAAACTCACCCTAGACTCACTAACAGGGTGAAACGCTGGACCCACAGAGCTGGCACATCCCTCCCAAAGCTCTAGGTAGAAGCAGGGATCGAGACGAGCTTCTGCTCTCCCAGAATTTAATTTTCATTTCAACGAAAGCAATTTGCAGCGCTGAAACCCATGAGTTCTCATCAAGGACTTTCCTCGGCAGTAAGGACTGCCAAAGTAGTAGGAACCAAATTGTTGTCAGCTTAAGGACAGCCATCTGCTCAGCCTCTTCCCAGCTGCCATGCTCCAAATCAAAGAATGGATAACAATCACTTATGTTTCTCACCAAGCTCAAGATGGAAAAATCTAGGAAGAGGGGAAAAAAAAAAAAAAAAAGAAAAACCCAAACCAAAAAGCAAAAACCAAACAAACCAGGAAAGCAGCACGGCAGGGATCTAACTGGGAACAGAGATGAAAGTAGGAGAAAAAGAAACTAGTGGGCTTTTTTTTTTTTTTTAAACCATGTTTTTTAAAGAGTCCTATTGACATCTGCTTTGTAAATGCTCTGTCATTATTTATAACCTCAAGAGCACGGAATTGTCTCTGTAGTTACACCATGCTACTCCCATATTTTGGCTTTGCTAGCAAAGAACCAGCAGCATTTTTACTGGTGCTCTGGGAATAGAGATCTAACATTTCATACACAGTTTATTTAAAAGTGGACTAAATTAACATTCTTGATGGTTCCTTTTAGCACAACTGTTGCTAATTACCAGCTCCGGAATGATCTGTTAATCTGGGAGCAACGGCAGTTCCACAGCAGCATAAATACACCAAGGCAAAAAGGAAGGCGGGGAAAAAAAGAGAAAAATAATAAAAAAAAAAGAGACACTGGAGAGGGTTCAAGTTTTAGCAAACTAAAGCAAATTAAGTGACAGGTGGAGTTGGTAACACAGAGTAGAAAGAACATTGTAAAATGGAGCTGTAAAGGGGATAATCCTGGTCCTTGAGAAGTAAAAAAAAATAATAATAATAGTGGTAATTTTTAAAGCTGTGCAAATGTTGGTTTTGGTGGCATGGACAGGACGCTCGCTTGAAAGATGAGCTGTGCTCCTCAGGGCCGGGACAAGCATCAGCCCCCCATTCCTCCCGTCCGCCGGCGGCAGGGCGAGCGGAGAGGGAGCCAGGCAGGCCCCTCGACCCGGGACACGGCCCCTCGACCCGGGACACGGCCTCAGCTCCTTTAGTTGGCTCCAGGGCACTGTGCGTGGAGGGACGCAAACAATAATTAAGCAAAGACCACCATAAAACACGACAAGTGGGCAGGAGGATTGCAGCCGGAGTCCTCAAAGGAGGAGCCCTTGAAATCCTGGAGTCATGTTTGGAAGCGACAGGATCCAACCCATAGCTTTGCACTACTGCACGCTATTTTTCTTGGGGTTTTTCAGCAAGCACAGAGGCACCGAAGCAGCTTTGCTGCTCGTGGCTTCCCACGTCGTGTCCCTGCGGGTCCGTGCTCTGGGCACGGCCACGGCCATCACCTTCCCTTGGCTCCACAGGACCAGATTTGACTCGTCTCAAAACCACCTTTTTCACAGCAAAAGACTTGAAAGCAAGTTTTCCTAACAGTTCCTTTTCTAGGAAAGGAACCGTGTTATCTTTGACATTTATAAAGCATCAAAGCCATCCCGTTGTTGGTACCAAGATGAGCAGGAGTCCAACAGCCACGGAAGGGGACTGAGCAGCCTCCCTCCAACCACGGCTTCCACACTTGGATCACTTTGGTCTTTCACTGCATGTGTGAAAGGACTTGAAAGTCATAAAATTAATTCCAGACAAATATTAGTGAGGCCTCAAGTGGAAAGCACATCTCCTTCCTTCTGGGAATTTATAGTTCATCCACTTTTATCTTCCGGAGGCTCTTTGGAGATCAAAGATTTGATCAACTTTCCCTTTGCAAAACTCATGAAGAAAATGGTGTTATCGGTACCGTGACATGATTTTATTTGGTTTTTTTAATGATTCATTGCCCTCCCCTAAAAAGTCAGATTCCTTCATGTAGGTCTAAAACAAACAGCACAAGTTACACAAGAAAGCTTTCTGTTTGGTTATTGGTTTTACGGTTGTTTCAAGGTCAATTCCTAACCCGACAGCTTACCCTTGTTAAATGCTGCTCTGCCCAATAAAACCGAGATGGCCAAACACGAAGTAACCGCCGGCCAACAGAAACCCCCTTGCTAACGCCACCAGGGAAATGACCTGTCGCTCTGGCAATTTTCCCCATCTCCATCACGCTATGGGGTCAAACCCCCTAATTTACAAAAAGACATATATAATCGGTGGAAGTGCGCTGCACTTCTGGAGCGACTCGGCTCCGGTGCATTCGTAATGGAAATCGGGGAAAGGAGAACAAGTTGTAAAAGTACAACACGTTTTCACCGGGGGACAAAGACGATGAGAAAAACCCTCGTTAGTCCACCGACTTCCAGCATCTATTTCTCACCGTGCAGGGATTCTCTGCACATCTGGCAACAGAAAGGCAGCACTTCGGCAGCCTAACGGAGGAGGCTCATTCCGCCGAACATCTGCCTGCGGCACTCCATTTACACCGCTACCATACAGCTGAAACTTGCTACTTACACAAGCGACTCGCGAAGACACTGGAATAGAGTTCAAGGAGTCGGTGCAAAAGGGCTTGGATCCTGCCTGAGCCATCGGAGCATCAGAGCGACACCGGCTCTGACGAGGATGGACCACATTTCGCTGGAATCACTCAGGGAGTCTCTACCAAATGCATCATACTTGTCAGCGTTTCGGGGAGGAGGAATCCGGGGACTTTCACGAAGCTCTTTCTTGGAGCAGAGCCACAGGGAAACGCTTTTCCACTGTGAAATTGCGAAGGCTTCAGGGAAGATGGGAAACTCGCGGAGCCAGGGAGCTGGAGAGAAAACTAAGGATAGCCGAGAGGTTTGTAATGCAGTCAGGACTGGGGCTTAGCAGGCATCAAGCCACGCACAGACCACCACACCATTCTTGCTTTTTTTCGTCGCGCCCCCTTCCCCCCGCCATGAAAAAACGGCCCCGTGCTCTTCTGCAGCAGGGAAGCGCGGGACCCCTCCAGGAGCTCGACGCGGGAGGCACTCCTCACGTCTCGGTGGAGTTGGGCAATCACGGAAAGACAGCATTGGAAATAACATTCCTGATACCGAAATCAGGCAGGATTCAAGCCGGGGGAAGGGACGGAAGGCAAAGTTAGTTTTAATTCTTTTGGTATTTATTACTTAAGTTCTCAAGAAGTGTTCAGAGTGGTTTCGGTGCAATAAAGACGTCACGGTACTTACTCTAACTTACGGTCTACCTAAGGATTGTGGCACTGTTCTTAGAAGAACAAAAAAGGCGACGTTACATGACCTCAAGCATAAAATGTAATTTTGGCAGCATTCATTCTCCATTTTAAAGCACCCTTCAGTCGCCCAGGGGCTTTAGAGGACACCCGCAACCTGAAGAGCTAGCCTCTCGGCACGCAGAGCCCAGCTCCTGGAGAGCCCCCGGGAATCTCCACCACGTCCGAGGGGTCGGATGCCATCGGTCGCTCAAGAGACGTGGTCCTTGGCGTATGCCCTCACCTTGCAAAGCCATAACCAACCCTCGCAGCCCAGCTCCTGCTTCCACCGCTGAGTCCTGCACCGGCTCAGCGCCTTCGCAGCCATCAGGAACAGCCTCCATCTCCCAGAACTTCCCAGATTAAAGATTAAAATACTTTAAGAAAAACCCCTATCAGACAGCAGGGAGTTGTAATATTTAGTACTCGCGTAAGGCGCACGTACAACGGATCACGGTATGGCCCATCCCATCACGGAGCGGGTGGTGGGACGATCCACGTTGGGGAAACGTGTTGTGAGACATCAAGACCAAAACCAACCAGAAGGTCTGAAATAGAGACGAGACACACGAGAAGGGCTTTGGCATCTGAGCATAATGGAGCAGGGCACGTGGAGGCGATGATCTCGCCAAGGGAAGGCGATGGCAAAGGGAAGCAGCAGACCAGGAGGACAGACAGCACTGTCACACCAGGGAGGTCTCAGGCCACCGAGGAAGCCTCGATACCCCTGGGGTTTGTATCACCCATCCTCATTTTTACATTTATCAAACCACAGATGAGTAATTTTGACGTTTTTGTACCTTCCTGCTCTTTTAATACGAACTCTGTACAACTTTGACTTCCTTTCACGTGCGCTTTGAACCCACCTGAGACTCCACTGCACTGCAAAACCCCGTTAGAGCAGTCACTATTTCGCGATGCAGATGTTCACAGCTGTTTGTTGGACTACAAATAGCTACTTGACGATTTTAAGCAAAGACAGGTGTACAGAACAACAAATATAGGTATACAAGTACAACTTACAGCCTTGAACGAGCACAGAGCCTCACTAGTAGAGGAGTCGAGGACGAGATTACTAAGCAGCATCAATTTGCACGAAATCACTAGACCTACAGCTGCAGAAATCAGAACTACTGGAATTCCTCATCTGGAAGGCAATCAAAATCAGATAGAAACTATTAAATGCCACAGATGCCAATTTTCCCCCCCCCCCCTACATACAGAATTTTGTACCATGATCATAACCACGATCTGAGAAGAAAAAAAAGTCAGTCTTCTGCTTGTCTGTGCGAAGACACAAAGCGGGACTCACCGTCTGGCCCTTCGCTGCCTTTACTCCTTTTATTTCGACGGACGCGTCTGCCTTCTTCTCCAACGTGCAGCTTTTCTTCAGGGTGAAAGAAGTTCAGCAAGGCCAGCTGGAAGAAGAAGGACAAGTTTAAGCAACTTTGGCGAGGATGGCTTAGCCGAGCAGAGAGATTGGAGCCTGAACACCAAATCCTTTCCATCAGGGATAGCTCTGCTGAGCAGGGGGGAGAGCCACGGGAGATGCGAGGGGGCTGCTCACGGATGCTCAGCTCACCCACCCCAAGGGAAACCGCAAGGAGCTCTGTCCCCTTGGAAGCAGTCTAAGACTTGGGAAAACTCAACGTGAAGGGTTTTGGCAGGAAGAAGCACCCTCCCGGGGCACGGGAGGCTGCAGGGACAGGGATGCAGGCGGTGTCAGGGGAGATCTATAGCTGGAAATAATCCAACGCCCCAAATGCCGATGCAATCATTTCCAATTATTCTCTGCAAAACTTGCTCAATCCTGGAGCTCTTTTACCAGTATTACTCACTGCCAGTAAGTTTTTCCTCTCTCAAGATCTCTTCTGCAAGCTTCATTAGCTACTGAGATTCAAAGGTCTTCAGGGACCTTTAAATCCAATTCAGTATACCACATAAATTAACACTTTAAACCTAAAGCAAGTACGTCTTTATAATGTGATTTTGCCAAGAGGCAAAAGTTTTATGTAGCGACCTCTTAGTCATGAAAAAATAGCTGCTGCATTAAAAACTCTTTGATGGTTATTAAATCAACATCCCTACCCAGAAACTGGAATTTCAGTTCAGAAACTTCACCAGTCCTCCCAGCTAGCCCAGGGCAAGGCAGCTCATCACCAGAGGCATTTTCCCCAGCCATTTCCATTCCCTAAAATAAGGAATTTCATGAAAGATTAATTAGGGGCCAAACACCTTGCCCTGCGCGCTACCGCACCCGCCACCAACCAGGGCTGCTCTGACCAGGATGGGGTTTTCTTCATGCTGAAGAAACCCAATCGCAGTTATTTAAGCCATCAATACAGAGACAAGCCAAACACAGCCTAAGACAAGAACGAAGAAGCTTCAAAAAAGCAGCACCAAAGGTTATCAAGTGCACTATTGTTCTGAGAACAAAACCTGTGGCAGCAAAAGCATCTTTGAAATAGCAGAGAAGAATAAACTCCTTCCCTGAATTGCTAGTTAAGAGAGTGGCTCGTTAAGCTACAGGCCATAAAAGTCCCTATCAAAAGTAATAATCACTAAAGGTCTCTTTGCTTTTGACGTGCTCCGTGGCTCTCGCCTCCCCTTTCCCACCCCTCCGTGCCCAAACACCTCTTCCCCAGTTACCTCCCACGCACCCACTCGTCTTCCAGCCTAAGAGCATCCCGTTCCCGCTTCCTACCCAGCAGTTGCTGGATTTGACGTTTCCATCTTGCTTTACTCCAGCCAACCTCAAGGCAGTCTCATCAACCATAAAAGAAACCCCCAAAGCGTTTCCCAAACCCCCGAGCTGCAGGCAGGTCTGCGTTTACCGCAATTCCCGACGTTTTGTCATTGCAAGGGATGAGCAAAAAGTGAAGGGTTGTTTTTTTTTTTTAAAAATGACTTCTTTAAATCAAGTTGAAACATTGTAGAACTAACTAGCTGAAGGAACAAATTGTATTCTAATTCAGGTTAAAACGTCAATGAAATCATCAGCGTGGCTTTTGAAGGCTGTTACTACTTGGCTTTCCTATTTGGGGTGTACCAAACATGACTAAAGAAAAGCACCGACAACGAAGCGGTGGGGAACCAGCCCCTTGGGACGGGCAGCTCCCCACCCCGCCACCCTCGGCCAAGCGACAGATGAGCGGCTCCCAGCACTAAGCCTAAACCCAACATTTTTTTAATCTTGAGATGATTTTGTAATGGCACAACCCCAACTGTGTCAAAACAAACAGGTTTCCTTTCCCTGCTATGACAAATGCCATTTTAACACAACACTCACAATTTCGAACAGCCGCAGCGCGACATCCAGCTCACTCCGGGCCACCTCCTCCTCCACATCTGGGCACTGGCACCGGGAGCAGTGACAAACACACGGATTTCTTTTCCAGATATAAAAGTTGAATCCTCACGGGCCACCCTCCCACCTGCTTTAAAGAAACAGAACTACTAGCGGGCTTGGAACAATTCAGAGAAGAGTTTCACCTGGAAAATCCTAAGAATCAGGAAAGGATGAAACACCCCGATTTCTCCTTTTGATCGACGGGTTTTGCTGTTTTCAGTGAAACAACCAAAATTTCTTAAGGGACTTGAAAGCTTTTCACAATCTGAACAAAAGCATTTAAGTTTAGTCTCTGAAGGGAAAATACAACAGATTGACACAATATGTTTATTTTCCTGAACAGTTAATGAAAGTAACACTTCTATTCACAAAACTAGAGTAATGAGGCTTTAAGCATGCTTTGGTCAGCATTAATAGCAATTCGAAACCTTAGATCGGAAAAAAAGTGAATAAAACACAAACTCAAATTATGGTTACCAAAGCCCATCACCCAGCTGGACCTTCCTCCTCCTCCTCCCACCATGGAAGCAGCGACAGCCGTGGGTGCAAATCCCAGCCCTCCGCTGCCGCTTCCACAAAAACCGATGCTGGAAAGCATCGAAATTGGGACCGATCCCCTGCCCCTGCCCTCTCCCCTTCACTGGGCTCCTCCTGAGCCCCCCAAGCAGTAGCTCAGCTCCACCGTGTCCCTCTGGGGCCAGGGGATGTGTCCAGACCCCAAGCCCTCCCAGCGCAGGTCCCACGGCACAGCACCGGGCGATGGCACCGGGCGATGGCACAAGCGCCGGTGCCACCCGCAGCATCTTCCGCACCCCCTCTTGTCCTTGGAAGAGGCTCTTCAGATCATGAATGTGGTGTACAAAGCTATTGGGTTTTTTTTAAATTTTTTTTTTTTAAATAAAGACAATTGCCCAAACCTTCATAGAATCACAGAATAGTTTGGTTGGAAGGGACCTTCCAGACCACCTTATTCCAACCCCCTGCCATGGGCAGGGACACCTGCCACCAGACCAGGTTGCTCACAGCCCCATCCAACCCGACCTTGAACACTTCCAGGGATGGGGCAGCCACAGCTTCCCTGGGCAACCTGTTCCACTGACTCCCCACCCTCACCAGGAAGGATTTCTTCCCTATATCTAATCTAAACCTTCCCTCTTCCAGCTTAAAGCCATTGCCCCTTGTCCTGTCACCCCAGGCCTTGGTACAAAGTCTCTCTCCATCTTTCTTATTGAAGTGCCACAAGAAGGTCTCCCTGGAGCCTCCTCTTCTCCAGGGTGAACAACCCCAACCCTACTACTCTGTTCTCACCCAGGTTTTACTCTGATATCACAGTTAGCACTGGTCACTCAGAAAAATACTAAATATTGGCTTAAAGTAACTGACTCATTAAACTTTGTCTTTCTAATAAGACCAAGTCAGAAAGAATAATGACAGTGAGGGTAAATGACTGAAACATATCTTTTACTTAGAAAAAAAAAAAACCCATAAAAATAGCTTGTGACAGCAATCGTGACCCCACCAGCGAGGAGCACACGCTGCTTTGCGACCAACCCCCCTGAAACCAAGCTTTGCTGAAGCAGTAACACACCGTCACCCCTCCCTCAGCCTCCTAACGGACACAACCGCTGCGAGCAGAAAGACAGAGAGAGGCGTTTGTCCTCGGGATTACTTCCATTGCACTTTTAAATATGCCAATAACAACTTTTAATCTCTGGGGGAGCAGCCCAGAGGGGTCCAAAGAGGTCTCCCTCCGGATGGAGGGATTTGCCGATGGCTCTCGGGCAGGGTCAGGGATGGCCAAGGGGCTCGCTGGGCGCAATGCACGGCTCAGCCCCCCTCGGCCCCGCGCCCCGACAAAGGCCAAGTTTCTCTCCGATGACTCAAGGGGTTCCTTGTTCCAGGGGCCGCAGCTGCGGGGGCTCGGGGGATGCTCGGCCGCCCATGAAGGGTCGTGCTGTCCGGCTGGGGGACCGCGGGGTGTCCGGCTGGGGACCCTGCGGCTGGCACAGCTGCGCCGGTCCGAAGAGCAAACGATGCTTTTTCCATTCGCCACCCCCTGAGATATGATTAATATATTCACTCGCAGCTCTTGGACTCTGCAGCTTTTGGTCTGGACGTAAGGGTGCATGTTTTTGTGCCTTAAACTCCTCTACTCCCTGTTATTTGGTGTGGCCGCAACAAGGGAGAGGATTTGCAGAGCAGAACGAGCAGATGTTTGCCACCCATCTAGCAAAATATGATACAGCCACACAGACAGATGCAAAAGGAGAAACAACCTTCAGCGAAACGCTGCTGGCTGGACGCTAGAGCAGCATTACGACACGGAGGTCGCTGAAGGCAACGCTTCACATGTCTGAAAAAACAGGCTGAGCGTTGAGGACGGCTTCTGTGGGCTCCCACCCTGCGTGGGGAGCAAAGCAGCGGGGTGGGCAGGTCCCTTGGTTGACCCACGGTGGCCATTCCCACAGCTGAACACTTCCCAGTTTTTTTAAAAACACCCAGAAATATTTTTGCAGAGGTATCAGCTGCATCCTTTTAGGAAAACGTGGAGCATACACACTTGCAGGGCTTGAAGGGGTCCCCCACGCTCATCCCCCCTAACCACAGCGTTGTGATTTGGAGGGGCGAGACCCCGACTTTTGCCGGAGATGAGATGCTGGAGCTGGCGGAGCAGGACCAGGAACGCGAGTGGCCCCAGCCCAGGGATGGTGATGTGCCGGGCAAACACATCTGCGCTGGTCCAACCCCCTGCACCAGCAAGGAGCCAGGCAGGGCTTCGCAGGAGCATCCCGGCTGCGGCATCCATCCATCCATCCATCCATCTGTCCCTTCCAGGGAAGTCTACAAGAAACGACTGTCCTGGTCCAGCATTTCACTGAAACTCCGCACCCTCAAAGTCACAGAGAATTGATTTTCTGAGCCTCTGCGCTTGTAGAGTGAGGGTATTTTTGAGGAGCCCAGCAAGCACGTACCTGCTCCCAAAAGAGGAGTTGTATTTTCTCTGTATAGCTATGCAACAGCGACAGAAAAGTCTGGAACAATCACCATTTCCCTCCTCCCCCAACCTGAAGACCTCAAATTACCTTAATTTTAGAAACACCATGTAAACCCATTACGTCTCCATATTTTTTAATCAAGAAAATCACTATAGGATGCAAAAAGGTCAAAAAGCCAAGAGAGGAAAAATCCCAGGGGAAACCATACCTCAAAATAACCTGTGGAACAATAGTAAAGGCTCGCCGCACAGGAATGAATCAGTCCTACCTTGGTTTCTCTCGGCAAAATAAAGAAAAACAAAGGCACGCAGACAAAAGCCCTGATTTTCTCTGCAGCCACACGCAGAACAAAGCTGCTCGGGGATGTCGAGGGAGCGCAGAGGGAACCCCCAAAACAACACAGCCTGCAGTTACTCAGAAACTCATCTGGTTTGTAAGGACAGATGTTCCCCACTCTACAGAAGTAAGAATAAAGAGACTTCTGTCTATATACATACATATAATTTTTTTTTTATTTTAAGGTACCATAAAATAGGAAGCTTTCTTCGGGCTGTGAAACCCAATTGTACCACAGAGTTACGGCTGGATATACAAACCACGTGCAATAGGAAAAACAGTTCTGGGATGCTGAAATAACTGTGAAGGCTTGCACGTGTAATTGCATCCCTCCGCAAACGCCTTAAATAACGCACAGCCCTCAGAAACACTTTATAGGAATGAAGGTCCACTGGACGCTGAGGGAACAGATTTCCAATGGCCAAACAGCTTGAAAACGAGAGAAGGGGAAAAATATAACCCGACCTATGCAGTTATGCACCAAAGGCACATTTTTTCCCCTTAGGCAAAGCCAGGTTGGTAGGAAGAAGTAGCATCTTCTTCCTGATGAACAGCAGGATTGGGCAAAGCACACAAGCGTTCAGGTGCACGAGCCCTCCTCATTGAAAAGGGCATTCTTGCCAAGCCTTTCAGAGCATGTTCATCACTAACAAAACCCTCCAAGAATTCTCTGCGTGGTGTATAACAGACTTGGCTTCCAATTCATCACGAGAAAGCTCAACCAGCCCGCTTGAGATCTAATCAATAAACCCCACACTCTCCTACAGCACAATGTCTTTAAGCACCAGAGGAAAAAAAAGCATGAAATCATCCTCTTGCATTACTGTTTAATGGTATTGTTAAAGTCAAATTCCCTCATTATTTGCAATTTTGGAGATCGTTAGTGTGAGAAGACTAATAACAAGGCTAAGCTCCGTAGAGGCATTCTTTGCAAGCAATACTGTTGTTTTTCTGGCGCTCTGAAGTTCAGCTGTCGGAGGCTGCGGTTCAGAGTAGCAGCTACTTGAATATCAGCCCCATTGTCCTCCATCAGAAATTTGCCTCTGGTAAAAAGGCATTTAAAAAAAAAAAAAAAAAAAAAAAAAAATGCAAGTAGATTATTTATTTTCAAACAGCCTAGAAAGAAGCTTGGGGAGTAGCTTTGCTTTACTGAGAGAAAAAAAAACACAACACACACACAAAAACCATTCAACATATTTTAAGTCTTGCTTTTGTCATCATTAGTTTTTCCTCATAAAAATGCAAGAAGCAAGAGAATAAACAATTCCCATTTCAACATGACAAAAATTTATACATGATGCCTTGTCTGCAAGACAAGCTGCAGCCCCGAATGCAAAAACTCTTGCAATGTGACATATATACCATGAGCCAGAATGTGGGCAGAGAGAGCGATGGAGAGCGTAGAGATTATACTTTCTCTAAGGTGCAATTCTCATAACCCATCTTCCTCCCCCAAGTCCAGTGTTTTCAGCCCAGCTTGGCTGCGTGCAACCTTTCCAGGGGTCTGGAGTAGGTCACACAGTGTCCTCCGCAAACCCCTCCGCCGGCTTTTTTTTTCCTGCGTGAAAGCTCAAGTATGGTCCTCTCCTTCAAGACCACCCATAACCCTCCTCGTCGCTATTGCTTCATCTCTCTCATCGCTCCCCATCATCCTCCCTCCCTTCCCGATGCCAG